GGAGGCCAAACGGTCTGGAGGATCACCAATTGCCCACCCCAAGATGCCCCAGGTAAATGCAACTGGCAAATCTGAGGACTTGTGCTGCCTTATCACATGACCTGAGCAGTTCCAGAGACCTTTGGTTGTTACACAAGAGACAATTCTTAAATGCTCCTAAAAACAAAGCTGTGTTTTAAGATAACTCTGCATTCTTCCAGTCTGTTATATACTTAGAAACATCACACTTACAAATTCTGCAAGGGAATCCAAAAGCCACCTATAATCAAAACAGGCTTTATTTATTGAAATCATCATAATTATGCAAATATATACAATTGGAGCAAACTGATCCATGGTCACACAGGACAGTGCAGAGCCAGTTAGTAATCTATTTACAATATAAGAAGACAGAGGGAGAACCTTTGGCCTCAACCACCTGCAAACAAAATGTTTTCCTTTAGCCAGAAGGACATCAAATGTACCTAATTGTCCCCATCAATAACTTATGAATTAGCACTGAATCAATGAGCATGTGCAACCGTGCCCAGAAATGCTGGAGAGGTGCAGCTGCTTTTGAGCAGTGTGCTTGGGTGCTCATACATTGAGGGCTGGAGCCAGCACCTGGCATTCATGGCCAACTACCAGGATTCCAGTATGGCCCCTGCTGATGCTGACCTGTCCACCTCCCATTCAACATCAAATCAAGCTCAGAACTTGGAGCTGTGGTGGGTGGTTGCACCTGTTCCCATATTAATCTGCCATGGTGGATCTGAAAAAGTATAGTTCTGGAGCATTGTGGGAAATTAAAATGGCAGTTAGACTTGGCCATCTGGTCTAGCTTGATCGACTGCTACCAGAAAACCCCAACAGACCTGCTGCCAAAGGAAGCCCACCAGAGGTCACTTGGCCTAGGGGTCCTGCAAAGTCAGCCCTAGATACATTCACCCATGTATCCAGAAGCACCCGTTGCTCATCAAGTGTGTACACACCTGATGCAATCTTTATCGATGCTCCCTGTGTATAACTGAAGCAGGTTCCCAGTGCAAAGCTATACAGGAACAGACCAGACAAACTTCATGTGCTTCCCTAGAGAATCATGGCCCATGACTGCCACTAGCAATCATTACAGTTGCTCTCACTTGCTAACCAGAAGATTGGGATTGGCGTTCCTCTGGAGTCCCCCAAGTCTAGACTGCATCCACTTGGTGCAAGACATCAGATTCAAGACTGTTGGCAGCTCTTTCTGACCTGAAAGCACCAGCAGATAGTCCAAGGGACACAAGCAGAACTCCTAAGGCTCCATCAGTTGGTACAAGTCCCCCACACCTCCTTAGAATACACACTTGAAAATCCAATGGGAGGATGAAACACACACATACAGAAACCAGCTGGTGTATTGTGTCTCCAGCAGATCCTTTGCCCATTCAGAAAGAGAAGCAAGGACTGGCAAGGACAATCCACCCCTAGCGACATTCTCCCCTGTCTGTGGTCCTTCTGTCCTCCCATCCTAACCAGCACTGATACTCTTTGGACCAGGAATCTGTCTTCAGCCTGACATGGGGCCCACTTTCCGTTTGTATTGTAGCTAATCAGACACACGCCTCATGTGTGAGCTCTACTTGCAAGGGTGGAAACAAGAACAAGGGGGCAAGCTCCACCACCCATCATGGGCTTCCCCTCCTGTGCCTGAGATTTCAGGATTCTGTCTAACAGAGCATGTGCATTCAGCTACAGCACAAGCAGATGTATTGCGTTCACTCCTGTCCACCTTGAGCAAGCCGCAAGGAGGGGCGATCTCTCCCCCAGGACTACCAGTCCCAGTTTTCTCACTGCTTCCCCCTCCTGAGGCTGAACCTATTTTGTTCCACTTGTCATGATACATCACACCCCGCTGGTGAGGCAGAATCCAGGCTTGCCAGGATGCTGTGCCAGCACCTTTTGCTCACAGGGGCTCTGACTCCACCTGTCACCCCTCTCAGAGCTCAGCTATTCCCTCTGAGCTCAGCTGCAATCCTCAGAGTAATCAGAGATTAATTTTCCCAGCAACCCTATATTATTCTTCGTTGTATTTTCTGAGTAGCTTGGTCCTGGACAGGCAGTGAGGAGCTCTTCCTAATGGAGACCAAACCTACTGCACGTAGATATCCTAATATGGATCATGGCAGCCAACTGCATTTTTGGACTCTCCTGGATGGCAGGGACTGTCACAAGTGCCTGCACTTCAACACTTATCAGTATACTACTGATGAGCGCGCACACACACACACACACACACACACACACAAACACACACATCTGACTTCCTCCTCTTCCTTCTGTCTTTTGCCCCCTTTCTTCAAAGTCCCTGAACAAAAAGGAAGGGGGAGGCATAGAGAAAATGATGGAGATGCCACTTGTGCAAACTATTTCAGCTTAGGGTTCAGCTCTGTTGTGGCCCTGGACCTGTCTGCTGCAGAGCAACACCAAGAGAAAAGTGGACAGAACAGACTGGGTGCCAATGTCTTGCAAAAGAAGCCCTGAGGGTGATTAGAAAACCTGTCTGGGGATTGCCTTCTGGCCCCAGCAAGATGGTCTGGATCTGAAATGAGAGTTTTATACCAATCCAAAATCGGAGCAAACATTGGATTTGGACTGTCACCTCTGAAATCTGACCTGCCAGAATTCACTCCTCCTATATCGAGAACCCCTAAATCTGACAACATTCACTTCTGCTGAGTAGAAACGGATGTAGGCTTGACCAGAGTTATGCCAGTGTTCGCACACCGCAGGAATTGCTCATGAGCCAGTCTCAAGTGCCCTGAAAAGCAGGGTGGGAATTCATTCAGAGGGGAGCAAGTAAAGGCCAGAAGCACCATTCTGATAGGCTGGTGCAGAAGAGGCAGGGAGAGAGGCCTGTGAGGCACTGAGACCACACCGCTTGGCATGGATGTCCTTGGCTCGTCCCCATAACACTGGAGTCGGCCAAAGTGCATAGTCCAGCGTGGCTGTTTGTTCCCTTTGCAATGTCCCCTTCCCATTTTTTTCTCTTGTAAAGCAGCAACACCTCACTGGAAGGGGAGGAGGCTGGGGAGGAGGCAGGTCCGCATCGCGATTCCTGGGACTTCAGTTCTGGATCACCATGCCGCTGGTGTGGGAGTAAGCCTGGAGCGGAAAGAAGAGGTGGGCAGGATGAGTGTCTTTACCAGCTGTTACAGCCATTTTTGCTGGTGAGGGGACAGAAAGGGACAGAGAGTGTTACCATGTCCCTCTGCAGCGCCGTGCTGGTTGGCACTCTCTTGAGAACTATTAGGCTGGATCACTTCTAAGTGATGGGAAAGGGTTTGAGGGTCTGAAACATGGTTCCTCAGTTTACAGGGGCAGGAGCAAAAATGCCCTCTGGTTGGCCTCCTCCGTGGTCAGTGTGGTCTCTTGGGGACGGAGGGCAGCAGAGGTGCCAGGCCACCCGGTTGAGCCATACTTACATGTCCCACAATGCACCTGACTTAACATTGCTCCAGAGCATTGTGGGACATTTAAATAGTGGCTAGACTCAGCCTGCCTTCCAACATTGTCCCCAGCAAAGGTTTCAAAGAAGATCCCAAAGCAGGAGTCTGGGTGGGTTCTGCCAAGATGCATTTAAAAATGAAGAACTCACCACGCTTTTCAGACACCCAAAATTTGCTGCCTGAAGCAGCCACCTCACTCTGCTTCCCTAGAAGCCTGTCTTAATGGCACAGTAACTTTTAGCAGAAGTTGTGTTAAACAAATGGCACAGTAGCTCTTCAGTTGAGTCCCATAAACAGTTTGGCTTTCCTCTGAAAAACATTAATCCTTTAGTGGAAACTAGAGAATATGCTGTAAGATTCTATTACAACGCAGAGGATCCCATGCTCCTCTTTTTATGATAAAACTGGGCTGCCTATTGCATCCCACCACATTTCACAGGGGAATATTCATTCAGACATGGTGAGCAAAAGGTAAGAACTTCTGGGTTGCTGTGAAGACAGATTTAAGTGTAAATCAGAGGTGGCTGAGGATTTTCATTGGCCACAACCCAAGTAACCGGTTTCCCACTCCTTCAAGACAGTATCCTGGAATGATACTACATCATGATGTATTGATCTGCCCCCCAGATAAGGACCAGGCTGGATGCCATCATATGGTTCCCTTTGAGGGACAGTGAAGAAGGAAGGAAGGAAGGAAGGAAGGAAGGAAGGAAGGAAGGAAGGAAGGAAGGACGGACTCGTGGCCACCATAGGATCACCACCATGCCAGGGCCTGCATCAAGCCTGGGCATTGCTAGAGGCCCACACCCAGAGGGGCCCATGGACAAGAGTCCAAGGACATGGCTTTTGCTCCTCACCCTTGCAACCTTCTCCTTCACCTGTCTCTTGCTGTGGCCCAGACCATGGTGGCCACTGATGCCACAGCCTACATGATCTCTGGCTCCATGCCAGTCAAGCAAGCAACCAGCAGCAAAAATATGGAAGTGGGTGAGGAGTGAGAGCAGCTGGTGGCCATTGCAAGGCCGGGATCTTTGATGAGGAGCCCTTTTGGTAGTTTTGTTGTGACAGACCTCCACAGCTAGCCCACCTGAGCAAGCTATACCTACATGCCCTTTACCTTCATGGCACCATAGATCCATCCATGGAAGTCATTGACCTTGGTGTAGACCCCCGGCTTATTGGCCAGGGCACAACCACTGCCCCAGCTCACAATACCACAGAGCCGCCAGCGTGAAGTCCGTGAGATGCTGTCCTCACACACAAAGGGCCCGCCGCTGTCTCCCTGCCCCAGGCAGAAAACAGGAGTTACCCTCTACTCATGCTTTTTTATAGCCTGAAGTGCCTGATCCCACCTAATCTTGGAAGCTAAGCAGGGTCAGGCCTGGCTAGAAATTGGATGGGAGACTTGAGTCTTGCCCTGAGCAGAAGGTTGGATCCAATGGTCTTCAAGGCTGTTCCAACTGTTTGATCCCTGTTTGAAGGGTTCCTCTGTACCCATGCCACTATCTGCTCCAGATAAACCCACAGTAATGAGGAATGCAGACAAAATAAGACCCGGGGTCAGAAGCAGAATGGCAGACCAGTCCAGCTGGTGACTCCAAGCCTACATCCAGGAATGGGGTCATTGGGGCACTGACAACTTTGGAGCCAAATAACACTGGGGCAGGGAAGGATTTTCAACAGGAAAAAGGCACAGAAAGGACTGTTTCCATGTAGACCTGGACTAAACCTTGATCTTTATGGCTTCTATTTCAAAAAGTGCCCTGGGGAAGTTTTCACGTGGTAAACATATTGCCTCATATAGCTGAAGGTGTCCACAGCAGAAATGCATGAATGGATAAACTCCGACAGAGCCTGTCACTCTTCAGCTAGGGAAGGAAAGGGTTCAAGAGCCCTTCTCTGCCACCACCCTTTTGTCATTAATGTTAGGCTGACCTTTCTGATTCCTAGTTAAAGGAAATGTGCCATGGCTCCCACTTACTCTGTCCTGTTGCCCAGTGCATCCACTGACGCACACAAACCCCTTGCCTTACCCATCCTTGGGAGCTTGGATTCTCCAGCCTCCCCCAGTCTGGAGCCGCCTACCTGGCAGGCGTCTGTCCCTCCAGCAGCAAAGCCGGCGCAGAACATCCGGGGTCTGATCTGATTCCCATAGTAGTCGGGATTGTTGCAGACGCTGGTGCTGATGATGGGCACACTGGCCTCTTGCAGCACATCTGACTGTTGTCCTGCAAAGGAGGAAGGACCAAGCATTTTGGATCAGACCATTGGCTCATCACATCCAACACTACAGGGGCAAGAAGAAGGTAGGTGAGGATCTCCAGCGATTTAAAAATGTGGCCTTGTGTCTACATGTGTTCGACAACTCTTAATTAAATTTTGCTTTGATCTCAGCCTTCTTACTATTATCCCCCACTGAGTAACTTGGGCATTCTTTTTTTCTTTTCTTTTTTGGTGGAAAGGTGGGATATAAACCAAATAAATAACCATAACTCACAACATGATTAACATGCATTCCTGACTCATAACAGTTTAAAAATAGTGAAAACAGAAGGCTTCCATCTCCTAAATTAGACTGCTGGAATCAAGCAGACTTGTGGTAAGAAAAAAAGCGGAGTATCGTATGTATGTCCAAGCTCCAGATCAAGTGATGAAATTTAATTCCTGACCTAAGCTTTTCTCAGAGGCACCTTGTTCCTTAATTCTGTGTGTGATTCACATGTAACAGAAAGCCAGAATATGGCTTGAGTACAGCTTGTTGGTGAATCATGAACTGTGATTATGTCAACTTCATGCTACTGTTTCACTATGGATTTTTAACCAACAACAACCTCAGAAAAGAACAACCTAGGCTTATTCTTGGGTTGGCAACCCTAGGTTGTTGGTAGTTAACCACCCATAGGTAAAGCACAACACAGGATTCACATAAAAAGACGACCCACAATTCAACCAAATCCCATGGTTCAATGACATTCCATACTCAGTCTGTAGTCTGAGTTGTCATTACATATGAACGAATGATTTGCACAGCTTGACTGAGTCATTGTGGACTGTACAACCCACAATGAGCCACAGTGTGTGCCAGCTGCACACAGCCATTATTTTCAGAATGCTGCATTTTCAATATCCAACCCCCAATCAGGCCAATTGGCAGTTTTACCATGTCATGTGAGCCTGGCCGTCATGGGTTATTTGGGGGTTAAACAACCTGCACATGATCTTCAATTACTATTAGGGCTATTTAAGCTCTGATTACCCACAAACAACCCATAATGGTTCATTCTGCATGACACAGCACCACCCCCATCATACCATAGAAACATAGAAACAATGAAACAGAGTGAGTCAGAAGGGGTCTCCTGGGCCATCTAGTCTGACTTCCAGCACCAGCTGGCTCCGCTCATGACATGCCCACCATGTGGACGTCCAGCCTATCTTTAAACACCCACACCGATGGGGCCTCAACGACCTCTCGTGGAAGCCCATTCCACACCCTCAGGGTCCTAACTGTCAGGAAATACTTCCAGGCATCCAAATGAAACCTTGGCTCCCTAAGCTTTGCTCCTTTGGAGCGCGTCCTGCCTTTCTTTGCAGGGGAGAACAGGTCTCTACCCATCTCCATGTGACATCCCCTCACATACCTGTATGTAGCCAACAGATCCCCTCTGAGTCTCCTCTTCTCCAGGCTGAAGAGACACAGTTCCCTCAGTCTCGCCTCATACGGCATCTCCTGCAAACTGGCCACCAACCTTGTGGCCCTGTGCTGCACTGACTCCAACCTGGCTATATCCTTTCTGTAATGAGGGGCCCAAAACTGAGCATAATACTCCAGTCGCAGGCGCACCAGAGTCATATAGAGTGGTAGTAATACCTCTCTTGATCTAGAAGCCACACTTCCAATGGAGTTGTATATTCAAAATGGCAGCCACACACACCCAGCACATACCACATGATGAACCAGCCCAGCATTTGCTTTCCTGAGCTAGAATTCTGCAACTGGCTCCAGTTGCTAGACCTTGGGGATCAAGGGAAACACAGGATAAATTCCACAAACCTGAAGTTTACCTACCCCTGTGATACTGACTTTTCTTGATGGCTGCAGCTCTCTATGGTTTCAAGTACAACTCTCTCCTATCACCTACTACCTGGTTATTTTAACTGGAGATGCCAAATTTTGAAACTTGGACCTTCTCCATCCAATGCAGGTGCTCTGCCATGGAACTACTTTCCTGTAAGAACTAGTGTCTTCTTCAATCTAATGTCCTCCCAGCTGAGCTACAGTGGCTAAAGCATCAGAAGAGAGACTCCCCCATTCCTCTTCCAGTCAGCTGTGGTTACTTTTAGCACCTTTTAGACTGTTCTTAATTGAGTTTTCCACAAATCAGACGGACTCATTAGATTCCAATAATTGTTGTAGCATTTAACATGTGAAATATGGAAGTATCATCCCTCACTACCATACCCACATGCTCCACCTGGCCACTCTGAAGGTTCTTAGGGTTCATTTCATAGTTCTGCAAATTACATGTCTCCATGCCACAATTCGCACAAATTCACATAAAGTTTCAAAATTGCACAGGTTTGCACAAATTGCAAAGCGACAGACTGAATTTTGCATACAATTCCATGGCTTTAAAAAGAGAACACAGATTATGGCCCATTTTAAAATAAAGTAGGGCCAGACCAGGGTTGGCAAAATAGATAAAACAAGTTTTAAAAATCCATCCTCTTTCCAACACTCCCATCAGATTCCTGACATATCCTAATTTCTATACCTGCATAGCAAAATCCACCCACAAGCATCCACCAGAACTCATTGGGGCTGCTGCCATCTATTGGCCACTAGGGGTACTTACCATAGTACTGCGTGTTGCCCCAGCCAGTCACCGTACAAATCTTCCCATCCACCAGGGGTTGGCCCAGTGCTGGAAGGCAGACAGGCTGGATGTATTCTGTGGGTGAAAGCATTGTCATCAGCGGAACTAAGTCTTTCCACCCTGTCTCCACTCTCCAGGTTGCATAACATTTTGCAGACTTAAAAATATATGCACAATCTGGTTTCCAGAATTTGCAGCAGGGGACCAGATGGAGATTCAGAAATGACTTAATCGGCTGCCACACAGAGACAAATTGAGAGAGAGCGAGAGAGAGAGAGAGAGCGAGAGCGAGAGCGAGAGAGCGGGAGCGGGAGCGGGAGCGTGCAAGGGAGGAGGTGATGGTGGCCACATGTCCTCCTGTTCCATGACTGCCCACCATTCACCCACTCTCTTTGGCACTGGGTACCCTACTGAGACAGAGGTGCCTACTGGTAGTGTAATGGTGCAGTAGATCCAGGGCTCAGAGGGATGCAGCACACAAGTTTTTTACTCGCAGGGAAGTGGAGTCACCCAGCTCAGAATTCCCAGTCCCCTCTAAGTTTAGTTGCAATCCTCATACTGGTAGGATGCTCTTCTTCTGGAATAACGGAGTCACCTTTAAAATTTGGAATGAGCTGCCCAGAGAGGTTCACCTGGAGCCTTCCTTACAGTCTTTTAGGTGCTGGGCAAAAACCTTTTCATTTTGATGGTATTTTAATTGTTAACTTATTTTAAGTAGCATTTTAACTGTGGATATGCCATTATTATGGTGCAATTTATACTGGTTTTAATGGGGTTTTGATTTGTTATTGTTGTTTTATATTGTATTTTATTCTATTCCATAGTATTTATTTGCTGTAAGCCACCAGGGAACCTTATGGCTAATGGGACAGGTTAGAAATTAGAAACATAGGGAAAAAAGCAAGTCAGAAGGGATCTCCTGGGCCATCTAGTCTGACCCCTGGCTCCAGCCAGCTCTGCTCATGTAATCCCCAACTTTAAATAATGTCTATTAAGTAAATAAACAAAAATTCCAAAAAGGGTGTGCTGGTACTCTGGTCTGCAACCCATTTGCCATTCAGCTACAACCACCAACGAAATTCGCCCCCTGAGAGCTTCTCCAAAATTGAACTTGGTCCAGGGACTGGAAGAGTTTCACTACTTCCTGGATTAGGATAAGGAAAGCAGAAGCAGCCGCTATTCGCTTTGCTCTCCTCTTCCAAGAATTGAAGGGGGGTGGTGCCAGGTGCCGGGGGCGGGTGTCCATCAAAGGCCTTTTGCCTCCCCAAACCTGGCGGGAGCGCAGTTGCCCCTGGCTCTCTTGACTGTTCTTTATTGCCTGCTATCACCCAACAAGCCCAGTAAATGTTCTCACCATTGAAAGAAAGGGGTGTGGCCAAGTGCACCAGGGCAATGTCGTTGCTGTTCTCCTCACTGTTGGGATCCAGGAAGGGCAGGTACGCACCGTGGTATACGATGCTCGTCACACCCACCTGCACACCCTTAGTGGAGAGCTGGGAAACGGCACCCAGGAACACCCGCCACCGACTCACCACTCGGTTCCTCCTGCAAGGAAATGGACAGACACGGAAAGAGTTCAGCTGCGGCAGGGAAAGGAGGAGGAAGGAGAGGATGGGTGGTGGAATGTGGATGGGGTTGACGGCTGACTGAGCAGAGGGAGAAAGAAAAGGAACTGAGCACCTCAGGTCCATGGTACCACTCATGGAAGGCTGGCGTGGCTGATGCAGTTGACCAACGCAGGGCCCTGCTGCCCCCAGCACATTTTTTAAGGGGAAAAAACCCCAGGAAGAAAAATGCAACTGGGCTGGGTATTTTAATCAGGTTTTTTTTTAGATATGGTGCTACTACAGAGCACCACGAGGTAAAAAACATGCTTTGTACTTGATCTTACTTTTCATCATCACAGGGAAAGGAGGTGAGATCTGGAAGCTCATGGGGGGCCTAGAACTGGCACCTGCTTAAGCTATCCATCCCTGCACTAAAGAAACTGAGCAGGATATTTTATAGTTACTCAATTTATTCATGCATTTGTACTTCCTGGGGAGGGGAGATTCTTCTAGGGTAGTCTGTCTGTCTGTCTGTCTGTCTTCCTCTTTCCACCCTTTAGCCTCACTTTTCTCTCCACCCTCACCCCATCTGCCTTGCCATTCCCCGTAAGCCCTGCAATTGCCTTGGGGCACTGTTTCTCCACCTCTTGCCTCTAGGCTTGCTCCTTCTAAATCCCTTTGCCTTGGTGCTTCTCTCTCCCAGCCTCTCCCCTTACTCTCTCCCTCCCCTTTCCCCTGCTATTTCCTCCTCTCTCCCATGCTCCAGCTTCACTACTTCTCTCCTCACCTCTTTGCCTTGCTGTCTCTCGCTCTCCCCGCCTCCGATTCTGCTTTCGCTCCCCTTCCACCCCTCTGCTTTGCTGCTTCGCCTTCCATTCCAGCCTCAAGCCCCCCATTTCCCTCTCTGCCCACCACGTTTTTAGCTCCTTTTTCACTAGCCAGGCCCCCATGGCAATCATTATGTGACTAGTCACATCCTCTGGGGCCACCTCTTTGCAGTGGTGGCTATCTGGGATAGCCAAAGTCCCAGATACTCCCATAGGTGCAAAAAGGTTTGGGACTGCTGGAGTAGGACATTCACAGGAGTGGCAACCAAGAGATGATCCTGCCACTAGAATAAAGTAAGCTCACACATCCATATGCATACAAATAAATGATGAGGTAATCAAAAATGAAGCTGTTCACACCCATTTGTTTTAGAACAAATTAAAGTTGGAGCAAATTGGAGCCATTTAGCTCTCTGTTCCAAAATGAATGCACAGCCCCAATGAACTCCCTAAAAGGTCAGATCAAACACTGAGACCTAGCAGCTTCATAAAGTCTGGAGCCATCTTGATGAATGAGTACTGTTATTATTGTGCTGCGGCCATTCAATTTGTGATTTGCCGCCTAGCCAAAGCTCTCCGGATGACATACATAAGAAAAGCAAATATAATAAAACTAATGACAAAATGCATTAATCTACATATTCATGAATATTTTGAAAGCAGCAGCAATAATTTGATATCATTTTAAAAGGAGAGGTACATACCTAACCAGCTAAAAGATGAAAAAGGCCATTTGAAAAGGCCATTTTAAGATGCCATTACAAATAAAACAAGCAGCAGTTTAACATTCCTTTTTAAAGCCTGGGAGAGTTTTTCTAATGTCTTCCACTAGCACACACACAGGCGAGGGCTGGGACTTACTCTGGGAAGCAGTGCGCAGCTGTGATGACCCATTCATTTGAGATAACCGACCCACCGCAAAGGTGCGTCCCATCGTAACGCAGGCTGACTTGCCACGGCCATTTCCCCAAGCTGGCATCTTGGCCGCCCACAATCCGGTCCACAGACAACTTCCTGCGCCCGCAGTCTGCCAAGGATGCAACAGACAAGTTCTGTAACAGGTGGAATTGGGTGGGGGGGCTCCCAGCTCTTCAGTGCTGAATAGCCAGGCTGCCTATTGCTGCACAAACAGCAAGGATGCTTCTTTTAAAGACAACCATGTTGATACCTAAGAACTGAAAAGCTGTTTCAAACTTCCCCCGGGCATAGATAAACACACATGCAAACATTCAGAGTGTGTGCTGCTGCAAAGGAAAACAAATCGATCCCGCCCTTCTTTGTCACAATTGTAACAACGCAGACCACAAAACCAGCTGCATAGCGACTGAGCTTCACTTCACCATATGCAACACGGTGGTCTGAAAATACAGACCAACTCAAAATGAAGCAGGAACACTCTGAGGTGACTGAATGACCATCCGCAGTTGGGCAAATCCTATTTTTGGATATCAGCTGATGCATATACTGAAGATGCTCTTTGCACCTCAGAAATAGTGCTGGATGCGGAAAAGGTCAGGCACTCAGGACAAAACCAAAGCAGACATTTGCATATGCTCATTTAGATATGCTGTCAAGTAACAGGGTGAGTGCATTTGTTTGCTTAAGAGACATGATCAATTAAGGACACCCCTATTTGTAAAAAGGGATGTATGGATAGGGGAGCACCAGGCATTTGATTTCAGAAAAAGAACATCTGGCAGAAAGATTGGATATGGTGTTTAAATACAGCGCCAACAGAATCAAGAAAGACTTGGGCTCATGGCAGGATGGCAGACTGGGGAAGAAAGAGATGGGGGCTTGGAGAGACACTTCCGTGCAGGCAGATGCAGCAAGACAGTGGCCTTTCGGGGTTTCCATACCTTGGCAGAGTGTTGCCAGGAACTGACCTGTTGGACATTCACTGTGAGAGAGAAAAAGAGAAGGGTCAGCTGTGGTGAGAGAGAGGAGGGAGAGGTACCATGTTGGCATCCCAGATTCCTTGCAAGTCAAGCTTTCTGTTGGATGCAGAATTCACACTTCTGAACATCTCAGCATCAGAGCAGTTTTGCACTTTGGGACAAATGCTAATTCATAAAGTTGTCCTAAGGCAAGGGACTAAGGAAAGAACTGAGCCTCCAAAAGCAGGATCCAAGGCATCTCAGCCAGCAACCAAGGAAGTTATTGCAGGGGCGGAAATCTTCGAATCTTTTTGACTAAAGCTCCCTGCATTCCTGACCATTTACCATACTGACACGGGCTTCTGGGAGATGAAGTCCAAACAGCTTATACCCTCCCCAGGAACCTGCTAAATGGTATCACCAAAATCTCAAATAAGATCAGAGTGTAGTAATTCTACATGGAAGCCTTTCTCAACCTTGGCTCTCCCAGTGGTGTTAGACTGCAACTCCCATTATCCCAGACCACTGAGCATGCTGGCCAGCGATGAGGGGATTTGTATCGAACAGCATCTGGGGGCCCAGCTGGGAAAGGCTGCTCTAGTGCTTGGCTGAAGGAAAGTTAGCGAGGACACCGGGAAGCAGGCAGCATGCGGCCCAGCCCATGTTGTACCTTACCACACAACGGTGGCCTCTCTCAGCCTTCGTGCAAAAGGTAGCCGAGACTCATCCACACAGAAATAGCCAAATGTCCCATTGGCCCCTGCCCTGCCAACAGCCAGAACGGAATGGGAGAGAGACCTGGAGTGGAGGTAAACAGAGAGAAAGTCGCCATCCGTGCAGTTACGTTACTGCATTGCAACATCCTCCAGGCCTCTGCAAGCTTTTGGGCAGGTCAGCCATCAGTGAGAGGTGTTCTGCGAACATTCCCCATCGGTGCCAGCTTCCTCTCCCGCCACTTCTTCGGGTGAACTTTTAGGAATCATTATAAATTGGCTAGGATAGTTTGCACTTCAGAATGATCCCTGCCTGGCTTGGCTTCCCCAAGCAGCTGCTACAAGAAGGCACTGTCTTCATTCTAAAGGAATCACTTGCACAGATATTCTCCCGTTCGCTCTCTCAGAGCAATGGCACAGCACTGGCTGTTTTACATCAGGGTTGAGCAGACTTTAGGCTGGTTTGATAGACTTTCTCAGTAAAACTCCACCAACCAGAACCAACTGCAAAGCTCAGGAAGGCCAGTCAAGCACAGAATTACAAAACCAGGTACCTCCGAGCATTAGTCCAGCCCAGGAATCCACATGTGCTACCAAGACATCTTTCCACACCCAAATCTATGCCTTCCACCATCTTCCACCCAAAGCTGTTTGATTTCAGTAGTCAGTAAGCAGGAGAAAATACATTCTGTTGATCCTACTGTTAAAACACTGGGAAGTGGAAACCTTTACTTATTGACTGCAAAGCACAGGAAGATCTACTGGTAGTTTTTGCTCTGCCAGATGTTCTTCTGCATAGCTGTATAAATGAATATCCTGAGGCCCCCTTGCCCCATCTGCCCATGCGCTTCCCTCCATCACCCCAGCAGTGCTCTTGGCATACCTGACAAAGCCCATCTCTTCACAACTGAGGGTCGCCACCTGGGCGTCGGAGGAGGAGGAACAGATAAGCCTCCATTTCCCTTCATTTTCATCATACATGGTGAGACGCAGGTCTCCGGGGCTCACCTGAACTACATGAACCAAGCAGAACAGTGAGCAGTAGCAATGATTGTGCACACCCTGCACCAGGAGTGGGAAGAAAGTAGAACTCCAGATGTTTTGCACTTCAGTTTGCAACATTCTTAACCATTGGTCTCGCCAGCAGGGGTTTGTGGGAGCTGAAGCCCCAAATGCCACACGATCTGCCTTCTGCCCATGCCTGCCTTGCACCTTTCCCACAGCCCCATATGAATCCATTGATTCACTCATGGTGTTATCTCTTTCCTATGAGGCCACCATAGGCCAGTCCAATTTGCAATGCCAGAATAAAATTTCTTCAGTCTAGCTTGCTTTGTTTTTGTAAATTCCCCCAGATAATTTTGTGCTCTGACTTAGAACTGGGGTTTGATCCAGATTTAGACATACGTTAAGTAGACCCATTAAAATCAGTAGAACTTGAGTTAGTCATGACCTAACAAATCCCATTGATTTCAGTGGGTCTAACTCCAGTTATGACAAAGCCTGGAGTCTGGATCCAATCCCAGAGGCATCTGGCATGATGAGTGTTCTAATACCGGCTACAAAGCCAAGCCATGGCTGATGGAAGAGTGCCTGAATCAGTCCTCCCCTACCTGATACATTCCAAATTCCCAGCCATGGCCAGCCCAAGTTAGCTATAACCGATGGAACTGAAACTCTGAAACATCTGGAGGGTACCAGGTTGAAGGCCCTAAGTTATCTTTGCAGGAACACTCTTTCAATTCAGTCCCAAGAATTCTCAAACTATTTTCTCTGTGGTATAAATGCAGGAAGGTGTCCTGGCTGACCTTCTCCTCCTCTTTCCAGGCATATCAGGACAAAAACTTCTAACTAAAAGTCTTTATTAAGTTGAAGCTGCCCAGCTAAGCTGTCTTAGTGATAAAAAGAGAATGTTGCAGAAGTCAGTAACAAAGGAAATAGACAAAATTGGAACCGTGGCCTTAGAGAGATATTGCCTAGTAATGGAAAATAGATGTTCAACTAAATACCTCACCTCCCTTCCAAGGCAAAAGGAGCTGACTCCACTTTCAGGATGGATCATCCTGCTTATGGGCCAGTCGCCTGGGGTGTCTGACACTTCTCAGTGGGTCTGCCCTTATTAAGCTGATGCTGTATGATGGGTCTAATGATGCCAGGTCCACCTCCCTCCATATCAGCTTTCTCTCCAGACTTTCCCACAGAACTTGAACCTGTCTGGTTCTCAGCCACTGCCTGGCTTGTGTGGGACTGCTGGCCTTGGAATTCAGCGGTGAACTCCAGCTCCTCCTCTACTTCTGAATCAGAATCCAGGTCAACAACATTGGAAGGCTGTATCCTAGGAGGAGAGGGCCTGATCCCTACAGAAGGGCCCTACTGGCTTAGACCAAGGGTTCACCAAATCCAGTGTCTTGTGTCCCACAGCAGCCAATCAGGTGTGCCAACAGAAAGCCTGCAAGCAGGACATGAGCTCAAGATCCTTCTCCCACTGTTTGGAGGAAAGCTCCCCCTGAATCTGGAGGCACCCTATATGTAGCTCCCATGAATAGCAGCTGCAGATGCAGCCTTATCATCAGAGAAAGTGTTCTAATCCTAAACCCTTCAAGGCCACCTAAATCGGTGTCTCTCAGCACATCTTGTTGGGAGCAGATGCCATAGTTTAACACAACACTATTCAAATCACACACCTGCCATAAACTCCCTGCATGGCCTTAGGCTGACCTGCTCTCCCACCTGAAATGCTGGGGTTCCAAAATTAACAGGGCATCTCCATGTAATACTTTAACAGCATGACTCCTCAAGCATCACCCACCCTTTGGAAACCTTCCCCGGGTCAGTTTGAGATGCAAAAACTATTGCATGTTTCAAACACCTCCTGATAGTGCCCTTGTTTGCCCACATTTCCCCTGACTTACAATTAAATTACTCTCTTTTACTACTCCTTGCAGTGCTCTGTGTTGGTGTTGGTGATGTTGTCGCTGTACTTCAATGTGGTTTTAATATTCAAGGGCGCTCTGTGTGGGGCTGCCCTTGAAGACGGTCCGGATACTTCAGATGGTGCAAAACAGAGCAGCCAGGTTGCTGACGGGGATTGGGCATTACTCTCACATTCCCCCGTCCTCTACCAGCTTCACTGGCTCCCCATCGAAGTCCAGGCTCAATTCAAGGTGCTGGCTATCACCTACAAAGCCCTTAACGGCTTGGGACCTGGATACCTGAAGGAACGCCTTCTTCCATATTTGCCCTCCCGCCCCCTGAGATCAGCAGCAGAGGCCCTCCTCCGGGAGCCCTCTGGGAGAGACATCAGGAGGCAAAGTACCCAGAGGAGGGCTTTCTCTGCGGTGGCGCCCCATCTGTGGAATGCGCTCCCCAGAGAGGTCTGCCTGGTGCCATCATTATTTGTTTTTCGGCGCCAGGCTAAGACCTTTTTATTTTAAAAATATTTTAACAATGCTTAATATCTATAGGTTTTAATTGTGCAGCCAGGGTGTTTCTGGATTTTAATTGTAATTTGTATCATTTTTATTTATTTATGTGAGCCGTCCTGAGGCTATAAGCGATGGGATGGCATACAAAAACTCTAAATAAATAAATAATATTTATATGTGAACTGCTTAGGGATTTTGTTTTACATTTGGGGGTATATAAGTACGATGAACTGAATGTATATACCAGACAACCTTACAGAGCTGCTTAATGCACAGCTGAATAAATACGTGAGCCTGCACAAGCTATAAGTAATTAGTGCACATTGGAAGGGATGCTAGACTATGGCTATCACAAGGAGAAGAGGAGTGCAGGGGATGAGGCGGCTGGATGGAATTGCTTGTGAGCGTGGGATTCGGGGGACTCCAGGAAAGTGTGGAGGACCAGGGAGCCTGGCAAGCCATGGCCCATGGGTTCCTGGGGCCTGAACAAGAGCAAGCGAAGCATGAACCTCCGCCCCCCACAAGACTCACCAACATAGAGACTTTCTCCTTCATTTCCGAGCACAGACACCACTGCAACAAAATACAGACAGGATGACCAAGTTAGAACACCAATTAGTGTGAGACCAGCGCCACCTAGAGATACCACGGGTGAGATGGGTGGCATACACATCTTTTATACAAATAAATAAAGAAACAAACGACAGCGTTGGCAGTGGCGAGACCCATCTTGCAGGTGATCGCACAAGCAGTGAGGGCCAGTGTGGTGCTGAAGGGTCCTGGATGGGATATCTGGGTTCTAGACCTCTCTAAACCAGGAAGCTGTCGTGCCTGAAGCCCCGACAGAGACAGCACCTCACGAGGAGGCCTTGTGCCTGGGACCCTGTATCCAAAAGCCAACCCTGCAACCTAGCTTGGGGGTGGCTGAGCAGATAGCTGCACCTCCCCCTGACTCCCTGCCCATTGAGGAAACACCCAAGCCCACATCAAAGCAAGAGAGCCCTGAGGGAAAAGACACCACGAGTTCTACTCAGAAGGAGTCAGAGTAGGCTGTCCCTCCTCCCACTGATGCTGAACTTCCTGAACATGACACAGGAGATGCAGGGGCATGATAGACTTTTCCCTAGCAACCAATCGTAGAATTCTGAGGAGGTACGAGCAGAGGCAGACCTTGTCACGCCAGAGGGAAGAAAGGCGTGACCAGGAGGGCTAGTCCCACGTGGGCTCGGGCAGAGACACCACTAGAGGATTAACATCTGCATTCCAAAGACCTCAACAGAAGAGCCTACTATAGAGTTGTAACTCTTGTAGCCAGGTAGCAATAAAGGACTTTAGTTTTATTGCTGGTGAACGCGTGGGTTGTTTACATGTTGAGCTGCACCTCAGCAGAAGCTCACTGGGCAACTTTGGACCACTTGCAGTAGCCTAGCTGACTTCACAGGGTTGCGATGAGGTTTAAATGGAAAGGAGGAGAAACTCGTAAGCTGCCCTGGGTTCCTTGCCAGAGGGAGGAAGGATATACATGTAAGATATCGATATTAATAAAAACGATAGCAGCAGCATGGGGTGGGCTATCTTATCGGCCATGTTGCACATCTGGGAACGTGAAGAACTGTTGCAGGCAGTACCACAAAACAACCACCACAGAAACAATAACTGGTCACAGAGTGAGCTATTCTCATAGGCAGATAATACTAATTAATTAATTAATTAATTGGGGACAAGGAACTTGCCCAAATGGCTGTGTATGAAGCAGCGGTGGACTCTGATCCATAGGACACTCAACAACTTCTTTGAGCCCACAGTTGTTGTTATATTTTATTTTTATTTGTCCCCTTTCTTTTTCTTTTATTTATTTAGTTAGTTAGTTGGTGCCTAGGTGCGCTACAGAGGGATACAACGTTCTGCAGCTACCTACCTCTTCATTTCCTGATAATGGCCCTGTTTGCATGTAGCAGTGGCACATCTTGGGCTATTTAACCCACAATTTGCCCTGGTATCTTCCCCGTGTGTGTCACTGCCATTGTAATTATGCGGGCTTCTGTCAGTCATATCAGAGGTTATTCCATGATGCGTGAACCTAAATAATGTGAGTTCATTGTGGGTTAAACAACCTTCAGTTAATCTAAGAAGTAAATGTGGAT